AAGAAATTTAAGTTCAATCTCGCTTGGACAACTCATCCGAACTACCAGGAGGTTGTAAAACATTCTTGGGACATAAATAAGGATGTGGAATCAAATAAGTCTTCTCTGGCCTCTTCTTTGGCACACTGGAACCTCACCACCTTTGGTAACGTATTCAATAAGAAGAAGAGATTGCTTGCTAGGATCAGTGGAATTCAGCGCAGCCTGGCAAACAATGCACGGTCTGATTTAATTAAGCTGGAAAGGAAGCTACGCAAGGAACTAGAAGAAGTCCTCTACCAAGAAGAATTGATTTGGTTTCAAAAGTCAAGGGAAGACTGGATAGTATCCGGAGATCGAAATACACGGTTTTATCATACGGCCATAGCTATTAAGGGCAACGCTACCCGAATTAAATCCCTAAGAGATGAAAATGGACAGGTTTTCAATACTGAAGAGCAGATCAGGGTGCACATCTTTGAATTTTTTAAGCATTTATTTACAAATCAAGGTACGGTCCTGCCCAATGTAGTTCGACATGACAACTTCCCGAGTCTGAGTGATGAGGACTGGAGACTCATTAATGGACCATTCTCAAAGGAGGAGATCAAAGCTGCAATGTTCGATATGGCTGCTGCGAAGGCCCCAGGACCTGATGGCTTCACAGCTGCCTTTTACCAACAATCATGGAGCATAGTTGACGAATGTCTTACTAATTTTGTCTTGAAATTCCTTGCAGATGGTGTACTACCAAGCTCCTGTAATGATACATACATTACCATCATTCCAAAAGTGCCAAATCCTGAGAACGCCAAACAACTTAGACCAATTGGATTGTGCAATGTCTCCTACAAACTCATAACAAAGACATTAACAACTAGGTTGAAGGAAGCCTCCAAGAAGCTTATTGGACCCCATCAAACAAGTTTTGTGCCCCAAAGGCAGATAACCGACAACATCATTGTTTACCAGGAGATTCTACACTCTATGAGAAACAAGAAAGGCCAACTAGGATGGATGCTACTCAAGGTTGATCTGGAGAAAGCATATGACAATTTGAACTGGGGATTTATTAATGATACCCTACAAGATATTGGATTAAATGATCAATGGAGAAGAAATATAATGGCCTGTGTGACGACTTCTAGACTGGCTATCAACTGGAATGGGGGTATATCGGATTGGTTTCGGCCTAGGAAAGGAATACGACAGGGAGACCCCATATCACCCCTTATTTTTGTTTTATGCTTAAAAAGACTTAGCCATCTAATTAACTTTTCTGTCAATACAGGATCCTGGAAAGGTGTTAAAGTAACTAGAGATGGCCCCCACATCACCCATCTCTTCTTTGCGGATGATATGGTATTGTTCAGGGAAGCTACGATTGATCAAGCTAAGGTGATGAAGAAATGTTTAGAGGATTTCTGTGGATGGTCAGGTCAGTAAATCAGTCATCACAAATCTTCAGCATTCTTCTCCAAGAACACGTCCACCACGTTGCAGCAAGCCATTTCCGATACGATTGGTTTTCAAAGAGTGGATGATCTGGGCAAATACTTAGGAATGCCATCAATACATGGCCGGTTAACAGCTCAATCCTTTGCAAATATACTAGAAAGGATGCAAGCAAAGTTAACTGGATGGAGATCCAAGACTCTGTCACTAGCTGGCCGCCAAATTATGGCTCAATCAGTGTTATCTTCGATTCCCTATTATTCCATGCAAACGCTACCTCTTCCTTCTGGCATCATTAGTTCCATGGAAAGGCTGATTCGCAATTTTTTATGGGGGAGTTCGGGTGATTCTAGGAAAGTGCACCTGGTGAATTGGCAGACAGTCACACTGAGCAAAGCCAAAGGGGGGCTGGGCATCCGGCGAATGGAGGAAATGAATCAAGCCTTTCTAGCAAAGCTCGGTTGGAGAATCCTTCAAAATGAGGAGAGTCTATGGGTAAGGCTAATGAAAGCTAAATATGCAATCTCTAGTGAAGATTGTTCACTGTGGCAACCAAAGAGGATCATGTCCCCAATTTGGAGGGGAATTCTGAAATCTACACCTATTTTACAGAAAGGCATCAAGAAGATAATACGAAATGGTGAGAATACGTTGTTCTGGATTGACAGCTGGATGGACGAAGGCCCTTTGAGAAACACTCTTTCTGAACCAATTCCACTCCCAGAACTCTATAGAACAGTAGCTTCATACTGGGACACAGTCCATGGTTGGCGGTGGGAGCTCTTTGAGAACCGGATTCCAGCCCAATACCTGGACAAATTGGCAGCCATTACTGTTAACAGTATTGAGGAGGACAAATATATAATTGGTTGGAAATATGAATCATCCGGCGAGTTCTCTGTCAACTCAGCTTATGACTTAGCCGTAGGATTACCTGATTTGATGGAGGCATCTAAATGGAATAGTATTTGGAAATTGAAGGTGCCTAACAAGATTATCACCTTCATGTGGTTAGTTAAGCATGGTAGAATTTTGACTAACAGTAATAGATTCAATCGCGGTTTAACAACATGCGCGAATTGTGCTCGATGCATCGACAAAATTGAAGACACCCAACATGTTATTCGGGATTGTCCGGCTGTCGCTATAATATGGAATCTAATCAGTCCATCCTTCTTCTCAAGGACTGCCAGCTTACCTTTCCCAGAATGGCTTGACATAGGTATTAAAGGGAGCTCGAATCGCAGGCACCCCAGTAACGACAGTACACTCTTTGCAATCACGGCATGGTGGATTTGGAGATGGAGGAATGATGAGATTTTCAACAATGTGGTCAGAACACCCTCTTTCAAAGTAACCTGGCTAAGATCACAATTTGATGAGAATTCTAGAGCATTTGCAAGGTCCAAAAGACCGCAAGGAATAGTTTGCATGAATTCATGGGCAAAGCTTTATTGGGAGAAGCCTCCTGATGACACGGCTAAAATTAATATAGATGGCTCTGTTGATCTACACACCAACAAGGCAAGTTGTGGTGGCCTAATAAGAAACAGCTTGGGAAATTGGATTAGTGGGTTCATGTACAATATTGGGGTATGCTCTACCTTAGAAGCCGAAACCTGGGGATTACTAAAAGGCATACAAGTGGCCAATCATCTCAGCCTCAAGAAAGTCATTTTTGAGACGGATTCGAAGGAATTGATTGAGAGTCTAACTTGCAGCCAAGCCAGATCCAGCATCTGCCATAACCTCCTTGCGGCATGCAATCAGGAGGCTAGGAAGTTGGAGAGGTGGAAAGTTTCACTAGTTTGCCGTGAAATCAATCGCCCAGCAGATGCCTTAGCGGTCAAAGCCAAAACTTTACCAAGAGGTTTACATATGCTGCAAACTCCACCTGATTGGATATTAGATCTATTAGCAGATAATATAGATGGTGTTCCAACTTGGCGCCAAGTCCATGTAACCTAACTATTAATTTTTTGGGTTTCCCCCTTCCACTTTATATAAAAAAAAAAAAAATTATATAAGTTTAGATAGTGCATCGCACGAGAAAATATAAGTTATTTTTAACTTTCAACCAAATTATTTAAAAAAAAATATTATGTATTTTCAAAGAAATAAGGGGGCGTATTCAATCATGATTTTTGTTGACGTACTTTTAAAATGATAGATTTTGATAAAATTTTATTTAATTTCATAGAGTCGTTCAGAACTTTTTAAATCTTTGTAAGACTCTATAAAATTCTTTATAAAAAACATTTATAAACTTTTATCAACTTTTTTATTTTTAAAAGTCTACAAAAGTCATTGAAATTCTAAATTGAATACATCCTTACAAACTTTCAAATTTCAATGATTTTTATTCTTATCGTTTATGATTTTCTTAGAAAACATGTTATAATATATCAAGAAAAATCTTCTTATTATGTAGTTCTTCAACCACATCAAAATATAATTATTAGTTGCATAAAATTAAAAAAAAAATTAAAACTCTAATATTAATAATATATATATATACTATTAGGCATCAAACAAAGAGCTAGTATTTGCAAAAGTAATTTGGGACTGCGAACAGGAACAAGATGCTACTGTTTGTAACCCCAAATTGCTGTTACGAACAGTAGTTCGTCATTCGTAGTATCATGTTGTTAAAAAAAATATTACGAATATAAACATAAAAATAATAAAAATCAAAATATACAAGTATTTATATTAATATTATGAAACATTATAGTAAAATTTGACGGTGATAGATGAAACATTTGCTTTGTTCATGTATTTAGGGAGAAAAAGTTTAGAAGTTATGGAGAAAAATTTGTAGAGAAAGTTTTGAAGTTAGGGATAAAAAGTTCGTAGAAAAGAAAATAAAAAATCATAATATACAAGCAATAATGAAAGTAAAAATAATGTTATTTCGAATTTTTAGAGGAAGATTGTAAAGTTTAGGAAATAGAAAAAACTAGTAGAGTTTAGGTATGAAGAAAAGGATAATGAAGAAAAAATAATTTATTAAATTTAGGTATAAGGTTTATAAAGTTTAAATAAGGAGATAAAAAATAGAGAGGGAAAACCTTCAGAATTGGTAGAAAGAAAATTTTGAAATCTTGGGGTTGAGGGTTTGATTTCAAGTATTTATATTTGAGAAGGAAAAGTCTTACACAAATTCTAAAATTAAAAAATTTACACAAATTCATAATTTTTTGAATACCACATGACTTTTAAGTCCTTTTAAAAAGTCTTAATCGAATATCACTCGACTTTTAAAGTCTCTTTAAAAGTCTTGATTGAATACTGTCTGATTTTAAACACTCTCTAAAAACTTGAATTGAATATCCTTAAACTTTTAAATTTTATAAAAGTCTTTAAAAATTTGTGAAAATCATAATTGAATACACCCCAAAAAAATCCACAGTGCATCTATTTTATTTTATGACAAAATCCAAAAAGATCATGGGAGTGGGCAAAATGGTCCAGAAGAAACTACAGGTGCGTACTCGTAATTTCAACGTCGTCGTTTCAAGTTATACGATTCATCTTAACCAGTTAACTACTTAACCCCAAAAACCACAGATCCGAGCAAATCAACCCTCTCTCTCTCTAGGCTCAACAATGGATCGGAGCAGAAGTTCCTCTGTCACCTACCTAATCATCATCTCTCTTCTATCTCTCCACTACGCGGTACGTTTCTCTTCATAACTCTCTCTCGGTATACATTTGTAACTGTTCTGATATCGTTGTAAAATTGCATAATTGAATCGATTGTTTTTTTCAAAACTTCCGATCGGATCCAGGTTACCGATGGAGCCCCGGGAGTTTACTTCCTCGATGGTTCGGCTCACCAATATGTTCGTCCGTCTTCGTCTGATGAGGTAATCGAGTTTTATCTACATTTACAATGTTTTTCCATTGGCGATGCTATAATTTTCATTCTCACAGTATTTTTAGCATAAATCAGTGTATTCTCGATTTAGAGCATTGTGATAATCAATTTAATGGGTGGGCTAGTTTACTGGCAATTTGTAACTTGTAATAAGAAGAGTGATACAGTTTGTGATGATAATTTGAAGTATCTTGATTCATTGGTTCCTGTGCGTTGATCTTTTAGTTAGATTTCAGCTTGACACAGAAACATACTATGCAATTCTGCGTAGCCCTCCTTCTATCATGGAAGGTGTAAACAAATTTGAAACAACTCAGATTAGTCTGTGTTTCACAGCATTTTTAGCTCATTGATCCCAAAGATGATTTAACCCTTTGTAGAATCATACACAAGGCTGTGAGCAAACTTGAGATTTAATGACACTATAATTACATTTAGTGTTCTTGATTTTTTTTATTATTATTTTTATTTTTTATTTTTCAATCTTCTGCATAAATTTCTTCCTTAACTGCAGTGGCTATAACCATGTTTTCCATCTAACTTGCATAGCTGTTCATCTTTCTAATTTTTTAAAAATGAGTTTGCTTCCTACATTACTGGATATACTAGATTTAATCTGCACTTTATAATTTTGTAATGAAAATAATTTTGATCCAAATAATTTTTGTGTCTACTTGCTGGTTATACCTGTCATATAGTTGTTTTGTCTCAAGTAGTGCTGTAGGTAGTTCATGAAGACATGGCCATATTGGATTTTTAGAACTTAATAGGTCTGACCTCGTGTTCCTTGAACTTGGATAATTTAGAATTTAGTTGATCCTTAAAAGAAAAAAATTATATCACCGTATTTATGCTTTTTAATTTTCAACATGAAGCTCTTAGCCTAAATTTCTTATTTCTTTGGAGTGAACTGTCATCTTTTGTTTTTTGCCCCTGTTCAGACTGCTTCCTTGTCGCTTCCAGAAGTAGGCGCTGCTGTGTCAGTCTTACTCGGTTTTGCACCTCCAGCTACCCTTTCAGCTGAGAGTTCATTTAAGGTAGTGAGGAGAATCCATATGGAATGCCTTCAAACTTTCAATGCATAGTCGTGTTTCGCTTCTGTTTTCCTTATTATTTTATTCTTTGTGTGTGTGCTTAAGTGCTTTATTATTTGGCAGTTAAATGAGGTACTTGCACCTAATCCCTTTGATAGACCTCGCACTGTTTTTTTGCTAGAAGTCACCAGAGCTGAAGGTATATAAACTTGAGATCTTTATCTTTCTATATGATTGAAGCACTTTTTGAAAAATTATAGTTTGAATGCTGTGTATAAATATGGCTCTCTCCTAGTCTCCTCTCACTCTCTATGTATGTTTGTGTAGGGTCGCAATTTTTGGATGGCACAAAGGAGTTCTTAAGTGGCACCCATAGGAGAGACATTCTTGGCAATACAAATAATGCTGACATTCAACTTCCAGGTAGCTGTCCATCTTGAATTAATGTATCACAAGAATATGCCTTGTTGCATGACATATATTCCTAATGATTACTAATTTCGACTTACATTTTCAGGTGATGAGGAAGTATCTGTGCTCTCATTGAATGAGCCCTTGAATTTGGATTCAGAGGCTGAATTATCGGAGAAAGAACTAAGTGATTTTGTCAGTTATTATTATCACTTGTATAGATTTATCTTTCGATTTCCAGCACTTCCATGGTTATTCATTTATTATTTGTTCGAATTTTTGTTTAGGCATCGTGGCTGGGCGGCTCATATGTTACTGTTGCTGGAGAACCATTGATGGGGGAACTGACTATCCCTTTGGAGAATGAAGCTGAATTAAAATTTGACTTGTCCAAAGTACTTATAGAAGCTTCTAATATAGTAGTTGGTCATAATTTCTAGTCCCTGGTAATATCTGAATTCCTGTTTCTGAATATCCTTTCTGTTTCATACAGACAGCAGTGAAAGAGTTTATAAGAAGCCTTATCTTACTCACCTACAATAGTCAAAAGGCAAAGGAGCTGCATCATGATTTGTCTGGAAGTGAAAAAAGTATAGCTGAGCTAATTACTGGAAGATTCAATGCCATTGAGGTTACAAATCTAGTTCTTTTCCTTTCTATATCTGAAAATTCAGTGTTTCCTTGGGGAACTATTTAATGAGAATGAGCTGCTGTATGTAGTACTTCTCCCAACCATCCTTCTCATTCTTCCTTGCTGTCGCATTACTTCATGACATTGAAAATATGACTACTAACTTTTTCATTTTCATGCGCTTTCTGTCATGACTGTAGAAATGATGTTGCATTTTTAGTGGGAACATGATTTTGCAAAGTTTATAGCCTGTCAGTTTGGGACCTTAATATTTATGAATTGTAACTTGAGATATTTTAAGTTCTGTGCTTCACAACTACACTTCATGAAGGCAACAGCACAAAATTATGTATTACTCATATTCTATTGGACTATCTTCCATTTCACTCGCTAGCTTAAAGGAAAAATAAAAACAAAAACTCTTTGGCCTTGTTTGGTAAAATGGCTGTTAGCTGATAGCTGTTATCTGATTGTGTTAATTAGAGAGTATAACTAGTTGATAACATTTAGCTGTTGTAGAAAAGTGTTTGGTAAATTAGTTGTTAGCTGATAGCTGTTTGGTATAATTTCTTTTTTGAAAAAGCTAATTGAAAAAGTTGCTTGGATTAGCTTTTTGAATTTTAGCATTTTGGAGTTGCAAAAAGCTAATTAACCAAACACTTATATTGATATTTTAACTAAATCAAACAATTAATAGTGGTCAAATAAGCCAAGATTGGCCTATAGGCCAATTTTTTACCAAACAGGGCTAGCAGCTTAGCTCCCTTATCATTTAGCAAATTAGCAAAGGATGTTGCATGCATACATTTCTCACATGTTGATGGTTTTTAAAATGTTCTCAACATGTACTCAAAGATCTTGAGATTATGTGTATATACACTTCTCATCAGCCTTATCTATTCCTTTTTGCTGTGCAGGCAATGAAAAGCAATGATGGAATAGAAAATGTTGCACATGCTGTTAGATTGTCTGTTCATGTAATTTCGAAGATATTTAATTCATTACGTGACGCATATAAAGGTAACACTTACCTCTTGTGGCTGTTAAAATGTGGCATGGTCCTTAAATGCTTCACTCTTACTTTTCTGTATTAACTATCCTTTGTAGTTGATAGTCACAACCTTCCTGCTCAGAACATACCCTTTTACATGATGATGCTTTATCCATCAAAACCTGCACCGTCCTTATTAGTTAAGATACTATAGGTTTTACTTCTGACTTTAGATGTCTATGCATTGTTTAACCAAACAGGTGAAATTGTTGGAGTCATTGTCTGCAATCCAGCATCTGAGCCAATGCTGAACTTAATCTTTGATTCTCGACCATCTGCACGCTGGCTGGAGGAAACAAAATCCTTAAAAAATGCCACTCTTGCTAAAGAAGCTGAGAAATTGGTTAGAAAAACAGTAGCATGGACCACGGGAATCATGCTTATAATTGCAACTCTTTTAGGGGTAAGTCTCTGTGAAAATGGATCTAATAACTTTCTTCATTTGCATTGATAGTCAGTGGTGCTTGATTGATATGCTAAAAAAAAGTTTAAAAAGTTGCTGTTGGTTATTACAGCTCTGAAAATAGTATCATGTGAGACAAAATTACAAATGGAGTTCAGTTTAAATCAATTTTGATGGGTTTTTAGTTTCTTCCTGAATTCCTTTTAATTTTGGATGTCTATGTGACGATCTATGCTTCGCTGTGGTTCCTTTTCTGTACTATCTTCTCTCTTTTTTAATAAGGCAAACTATTTTTTGAAGAATGGTGTTATACTGAGAAGTAAGAGGCCATATCTTTGATTGGAATCTATCATCCTAATTATACCATCCTTGCTTGTATTCAGATTTACTTTCTTCTCAACATGCCTCTCACAAGGGACACACTTCTCTATTCTAATGTCAAGCTCGACTAAGGTTTTACCAGTGCTGCATTCAATCACTGGGAGATTGAAGATGTGGTCAGAACCCTGGTATAAGATATTTGTGATGCGTCTGTTACTCCTATTTCTCCTTTGAAATGTCCATCACTGTTAAAAATAAAATGATGGCTGGTTAATTATGCTTGTAAACTTCCGGGAAGTTGGCGTGTGATAAATGTTTCTGATCAGGTTGTAGGTGGCAACTGGCAAGAGGTAAGAGGTTAGAGGAGAGAAACTCAATTGTTTTCCTTTTCTCCGTTGTGTCGTATTAGTTAGCTTATGGTTTAAATTTATATTGTCTTTGTAATGTAATTTAGAAACAAAATAATTTTTTTAAAAATTGGAGATGGATGGATACCTTTTTTCAATCAATAAATGGTGCCTTTCCTTTTGCCCTGACATCTTAGTTTTATGTTTGGAGCCAATGCTTGCTTGCTTTTTCATTGCATTAAAATTTCGTCTCAGTCTTCTCTCCGGTCCTAAAGAGAGAAAGCTTTCTCTTCTCTAAAAAGCCGGCTTCTTTTTATTTACTGTATCATTTTGTTTTTTGATAAAAATAAAAAATAAAATGTGTTTCCTTTTACAGCATTAATGTTAGCCTCCATGACATGGAAGAAATGTTAATTTTATTGAAAGAAAAACTGAAATATCAAATTATTTTTGTTAAAATAATACATTCGCTTTTTTTTTTTTTTTCTTCCTATTGATTTCCATAGTATATAGTATATAGTATTTAGTATATTTCATTTTATGTATGAAATTTAGTCATAATTATCTGTTACTTGATTGTTTATTCTTGACAAATAAAAATTAGTAGTCATCACACACCAGTAATCTCATTGAGATTGTTTGGATTATGTCCAAAATAAATAAATTCCTTGTTGGGGATTCAAACCGTTTTGGAAGAAGAATGTTTGAATGTTTGATCACACTATTTTAGATGAAAAATAGAAGTATAATATAATACATTTCAATGAGATTATAAAAAAAAAAAATTATATATATATAGGTGTGATAGCTTTACATTTTACAACACCCATTTAATAAGTGTGATAGCTTTATAAGTGGTGTAAATAGAAGAGTGTAATTTGCACCACATTCATTAAATTTAGTCAAGCATTATATTTTTTTTAAAAAATACTTATTATTTATTTTTATTTAAAAATCAAAATATTAATTAAAATTTAAAAAAAAAAAAATATTGGCCATGAAATGGTGGCGCTGTGAGTTGGGCATTGGCACCTCAATCTCTCCCTGGTTTACTCTCTCCGGCTCCGACCACTAAGCCGCACAAGGGCGGCCACCACCACCCCCATCACCCCTACACCCCTCCGGCCACTTTCCCACCGCCTCTCGCCCCTCACCACCAGCCGCCACCCCTCCTCCTAATTAATTAAATTTGAATTTAAAATTTATTAATTACACCTCGTAAATGATTTTTGATCAAGGTGGTACAAATAGCAATATGAACACTCATTTGACTATTTACACCACCTATGTATATATATATATATATATATATATATATATATATATATATATATATATATATATATATATATATATACTAGTTCTTTTACGCGCTTTGCGCGAATTACATGCTAATGATTATTTTTAAATAAGTATTTCAAAGTATATCAATGCAATATTATATCGGAGATGTTCATGCATAGGTAAATAAATATTGAATTTGTTATTTAAATCGGCAATTTAAAGTATATAAATGCAAAATAATATATGAGAGATTGACTATATTGTCACTAAAATAAATGTTTGCAACTTTGTAATAACGCTAGTTTAAATACTTAGTCTAAAAATGATAATCTAAATAAATATTACTATTGGTTTAATTAATTTCTCTAATTCTTCTTAATTCTCTTTTGGGTAGCATTGTCATTGTCTTCATCTTCAATACATGTTCTTTTTTTTTTTATTGGTAGTGTGTCATGTGCAATTGGGCTACTGATGGTAACATAGATGGATTCATCGTGCAATGAGATTATGGTGTAAGAAGCTTTAGATTTGCCTTGTTGTGTATATGATGGGATCTTAGTTGTACTATTAACTATTTATCTTACAAGCATCTATTGATATTTGGTAGTGGTAGTTTTTCTCATACATGTTTCATGCGTTGTGATATGTGTTATCATGTGAAAGTATTGAACAAAATATTAATATTTATTATATTTGTATAAAATACTTGGTAAATAAATAAATAAATAAATATATATATATATATATATATATATATATATATATATATATATATATATATATATATATATATATATAACATATTTTGTATTATAACTTTGATATTTAATTAGAAGATAATGTAAAAAGAAGATAATGGATAATGTAGCGAATATAATAAATTAATAAATTTGAAGGTAATGAATCTTTGAAAATAAAGATAATACAACTAATGAAATTATATCTTTTTTTAAATAAAGGTATTATAGACATCTAATTCCAAATTTTTGAATGCTACTGACTCTATACTTTCTCAACCTGAATGCTACTGACTCTAGTGTAGTATCTGTTCATATACTTTCTCAACCTAAACACAAAGAACCAATAATGCCTCCACTGAGACTTGAACTTAACAACCTTCCAAATGGAAATCCAACCCGGATACCATTAAACCACATAGTCCTGGTCATCTAATTCTAAATTAATTAAATGCATATCTATTATTTTTTGTTGTAGCTACTAATTTATTTAATTTAATAAGAGTAATAAAGTGGCGTACATACATTTCATCATTTATTTAATTTAATAAGAGTAATAAAGTGGCGTACATACATTTCATCAACAATAATGAAATCATTGACTTTTTTTTTTTTTTTAATTTACATTCGTTGTTGAGACAAATTATTTTGACAGTTTGTCAATAACAATTCTTACAATTCCTGTCAATAGAGGATGATAATAATTAATTCAAAATATATATTTACAATAGATATTGTTATAATGATATAGTAAAAATTAACTTACAAATTTCTTTAGAAGTTTTCATGCATTGATAAAATTTTGATGTGTAAACTTGTTCAATTGGAGCTAGTGGGGTGCCAACATTGTCAATTATTTGGAAAATGGTTCTACCGTTTTAGAGTCCAGGTGTAATACTCTTGTATTTATGATCAACAACTTTGTAGTTAGGTCGTGCAGGTCTGACAATGATGTAAGAACAATTTTGTCCCATAAAAAAATAATATTATAATATTTGTAAAGTAATGTACAATTGTGTCATTATAAAAATACATACAAAAAATATTAATACCATAACGACCTAAATCATACCAATAATGCAGAAGTATAATTGAAATATTAAATTTTGTTCTGATCTAAATAATCAAAAGAAGATTAATTAAACGAAAAAAAAAAAAAAAAAAAAAAAAAAACTTAACCTAATTTTTTTTTTTTAATTTGTGTTTTTTTTAAATGCATAAAAATGATTTTTTAAAATTCTTGATTTATAATCTTTGATGCTTAACTTTGAATGTTATGTATTTAGTCGAACTAATTATTTGACCAAAGTTTATGTTAAATATTATATTATATATTTTTTAATATATTTTAACATATTCGTAATATATGTTTAACAATTATGTAACTCTAATTGAGATGTGGTTCGAATATAAGACCTATCTTATAGAAATTAATGAGTAAGTTAAAAATAATAAATAGTTAGCAGAATATTTTGTTACTAAAGTTTATACTAACGGAATTTATATTATTTAAAGGAAGAAAAGAGGGTATATAAGAAAAATTATTTAAAAAAATACTAAAATTAAAATAATATGAACCATTCATTTTAAGAAATAATACTATTGATATTTTTTTTTATTCCAATTAAGGGTCTAATATTATTAATTCTTTTTAGAATGATAGATTGTAAATATAGAGGGAGACAGATGATCAAAATGAGAATCACTCTTTCCGTGATAACGTGACAATTACACGGCTTATATATGGGGAGCTGGGATTTCGTATAGGAATATGGAACTAGTGGCACTGAAATTTTGAAATATCATGCTTGATTGATTTGATAATTTGTAACTTGACAGGTGTGATGAATGCAGTGGCCAGTCGATCAGATGATAACTACTCTACTATACTCTAAAATTTTCTACTACATAAAAAATAATCTCTAAATATTGCAATACATGAAATATACTCCTATTAATATTAAAAATTAAATTTTAAATTTATAATATTTATAAAATTTACCCATCATATTGTTATTAATTTTCACATAATAGCATTGTATTGTATACACAAATTATTTTGAAGAAATTATGCTTATATTTAAGAAAAATGTTTAAATTAGTTAACGAAATACACACACAAGGGCAATTGGGCCATTCAATTCAAAAAAATACAAAAATTATGCCCCTGAATTATCTAAAATTATGCAATTCGATCAAATTTGACATATTCATCAAGTCATCGTTGATGTGGCATTCATTGTATTAAAAAATTATTATTTAAAAATTTATTTTAATAATTTTCAATAAAAAATAAAATAGAAAAATAAATAAAAACCCACCCACCACTATTCGGTTCGCATTTCGAAAGATGGCGAACCGGAACCGCCTGTTTAGATTTGAACCGTCGGTTTGAATCGAGTTTCTTTGTTTGTTTTTTTGGTAAATTTTTTTTTGTGTTTTCTATTTTTAAAATAATTGGAATTCAATATTTATTTATTTATTTATTTATTTATTTTTGGATATTTTTCATTCTATTTTTTAAAAAATGATTACATCTAATATTTAAAATTAATTGTTATAGGTAAACTTTAAATTGTTATTTAAACTTTAAATTTTAATCAAATAATAGTTAAACTTTAATTAAATAATTATTATTTAAACTTCTACTCTACTACTATCTACTATCTATCTACTATACTAATAAGAGCCAAAAGAAGTTTTGATTGTTGAGTTGAAAAAATATCCGTCAAATTATTAAATCAAATGAATGATTTTGATTGTTCAGATTTTAATTTTTCCTTGAGATTTTCAAATTTATCCTTAATTATATGATTTCAATAAGAAAGGTCTTAGGTTCGAACCCCATCACAATCAAAATTCCCTTAAAAATTATATTCTATGTTAACTTACTCATTGATTTCAATAAAAAAGGTTTTAGATTCGAACCACATCCCAATCAAAGTTGACATAATCAGTATTTTATTTTATTCTTATTAAATTACTAGTTTTTTTTTTTTTTTTTTACGCGAATGGGATAATGCTCAATGATTATTTTTAAATAAGTATTTCAAAGTATAGGGGATTCATTATGCAATGAGATTATAGTGTAGGAAGCTTTAGATTTGTCTTACTGTGTATATGACTGAGATTTTAGTTGTAATATGAACTCTTTATCTAATAAACACC